TATTATTATCACTTAGTGGTAAATTTGACTGCAATTTTCATCAGTCATCAAAAAACTTTTGAAATATTTTTTTCAAAATTTATAAGTTGCATATTTCATTTTAAGTCAAAAGTTGAAATTCACCATATAAGCATTACAATTTGAGCAAATATACGGTCCTAGTAACGTGTTCATTACGTGACTCACATTAACAATGTATGCTTCTAAGATGTTGGCTTCACATATAGTGAGCTGTTAATAAAGTTTATGCATTGCAACTAATTGAAAAAAAAAAACTCAGTAACAAGTTTTAGCAAAATTTCACTTTAATTAATGAGTGAAACTCATCCACAGCTAAAATGCGAAAAATCTCATAATTTTAGCAATTAAAATTTAGTATTAAAAATAGAGTATAGTAGTAATTCAGTACTAAAGTTTTTGCTTATTATTAGCAAAATCAAACATTTTATTTTGTAATAAAGTTACATTTGTTTTATGCTAATTGCTGTTTATTGCGGATATCTAAATGATGTTCATTATGATAAGTATCACAAAACTTGTTATCACAATATAATTTTGGAAACAAAAAAAACACAATATTGACTAAAAATTAAGGACAACACTTAATTATCAAGTACATAATAATGAAGTTGCTATCTAGGACATAAATCTGAGCTGTTGCGAATATTCTTCAATACGTGGGGATTAATACGTAAATAAAGTAAACAAGGCAATAAAAACAGTAATTAATAGTAGATAATGCATATTTGAACTTAAATAATACCAATACTATTGATCACGTGAATAACAAATATAAAATCACATTTGCGTGAAAAAAAATTCAAAGAATTTCTAATGTTTATGCGGCCGATATTCAACTACATAACATTCAGATAATAAATTGCAGCAATAAAATAAATTTAATATTTTTATGAGAGAAACTTACCAAACGACCTAATTTTTACATATTTCCATGGCCAAATGGTAAAGCAAATCAGTTTTGAATTTATTCATCGTTTATTTTGTGCTAAGAATACTTTATCACTATGCCTTTTTGTTATTTTCAAGCATAACTGTACAAATATTTTTGAGAATTAAGAAATTTTATTTTAGTTATTAAAAAATATTTAGCTAAATTTACTAAAATGAAAGATTTGCAGTTCTATTCAAGCATAGAAGCAACATTTCCATCGAGAGCAAATATTAATATTTTATCTGAGGGGATAATCGATAACATCATCTCGAGATAACTGTTAATATTTGCATATAGAAACAGCCTCTTTTTTTTGTACAGCACACTCATATTTTTTGAATAAATAAAAAATGAAAATTAACGTGAATTACTTCTGTTTAACCGATTTTGTGAAAATTTTCACGCAAATTTTTGCATTTTCGTTATTAGCGTGTTTCTATGATTTAAGTTTTTATATATTATTTAATCTTTAAGCTTTTTGAAGAGATCTTTTAGTTTAAATATGAATTCAAAGTTTAAACGTAATTGGAAGCACCAAAATGTTCAATGCCGAGATCAAAAAATTTCTTTTACAACTGTTTTCATATATTTTTTAATCCGAATTTTTGCAAGAAACAGTGTAATTTAAAAACTTTTTTAATGTTTAAATTTTAATTATAGTAACTAGCTTTACTTAATGTAACTTTTAACAGTCATAAAAACATGTTAATAGCAAAAATGCAAAAATTTGCGTGGAAACTTTTACAAAATATAAAGACGAAAAGACTTTATGAACTTTGAACTCATTTTTTATCAGTTGTCAGTAATTAAACTCAGCATTAATCCAGGAAAATATAGAGAGAATGTGGACAAAATGGATTGTGATTTTTGTAGCGGTAATTGTTATTTCTACATTTTCATTTTTAAATATCTCGAATTTAAATCGGAGGATGGCAGATTTTGCTGAAATTGATGATGCCAAAGAAAAGATTTTACGAATTATTGGAAGCAGCTTCAAGTTTACATTTACGTCATCGAATAAACTTCCTGCCTATTATAATAATTCAATTGTGATGCGAGATTCGGAACAAACTAAACGAAATAAAACGCTCACGTTGATTCGATCGGAATCAGTTGTAAAGCGTCAAATTTTTCGACGATCAATCAAAAAAGTGAAACGTTTCAACAAAAGATTGGAATTTCCTTAAATTATTCTTATATTAGTGATAATTAACTTAAAAGCAGTATCGCAAAATTATTTGCATATATTTTTTAGAAGTGTACTTTAGAAGAAAAGTTTGGAAAAATTTTTCTTTAACGTCATTAAATTTAATTTCTCTTAGCATACAAATTTTGTAGTAAATCCAAATAATTTCAAGAAGAACGATTTCATTAAGTCAGAAATAATAATAGCAAATATCTGACATGGAAATCTATAATTTTATTCATGCAAAGTTTACGGAATTTTAGGTCACACAATTGACTGAAACTAATTTTACTGGTAGTATCCTGAATTCAGACTTGGCAGCATGTAAAAATGTGACAACACTTTGCAGTAATGAATCGAAGTCACGCATCCCAATATGCGATAATACAAACCAAACGCATGCGAGCGCATGCTCTCTTGCCTTATTTAACTGCAGACAAATACATTTACATAATGCACGTTTAAGGGTTTTAGTACACGTTGGAGCGTGTCACAGTTATTCACCTGTATTCACATTACGGCAAGAAGTATCAAATCTTTGCTTAAATTAATTTCCGCAATACTTTTTTGAATTCATTGAAAGTTTATAACTGCTTTAATTAAACAAATTTTAGATTTGTCCAAGCAAATGTTCTCGAAAATACAAACCTGTATGTGACACAAACTTGATAACACATCGAAATCTCTGTACATTTCAAAAACATAATTGTTTGAAAAGAAAAAACGCAAGTTTTGTATACCATAATTGAGTAAATATATTAAGAAAACAATTTAATATAAATAAAAATTAATTAACTGTAAGTAATACACAAAAATTAGCAAAAGAAATTCAAACTCGAAATACGAAAACAAAAATTTCAAATTAGAATTTGAGCTCAAAATTTTTAAAAACTAAGTTTGAAATAAATTAATATCCAGCTGAAATATAATTGTAATTTAATTAATGTAATTAGGTTGCAAATGCAAAAAGATAATGCCATTTTGACTTCGAAAAAGTTGATAGGAAAATGTTTTATGAAAAATTCTTGGCAAATCAAAATGAATAAATGAAATTATAATTATTAATAATTAATTGAACTTAAAAATAGCTAGCTGTTTTACAACAAAAATACTGAATTACTTGACTAAGCAATAAGTTGTCACATTATATTTCAAATTAATAAAGAAATACATAAATAATAAATGAATTAAAATTTGTGAGAAAATTAATATTTTGCAGAATTCAATTAATGTTTCATTTTTGTACACTTTCACGAAGTGTAATCAATCGATAATGGCATCAAGTAATTTGCAGGCAAAACTTTTAATCTTTTGCTTGAATTTATTTTTAATTTTCATTGGAATCAGTTGAACACTTATTTCAGTCGAAATTTATTCACGTCACTAATTTTTTCAATTAA